CCTTAAACAGATACGAGCTCGCACTAGAGCATGATCTGAATCCAAACATGTGCCCCAGAACGAGCGACAGTCTTCTATCGAACCCCTCCATCGGTGACTGATGGCGATGTGATCTAGTTGAGTCCAACGTTGAGACGACTTTGGAGGTCGCCAGGTCAGCAGATGCTTTTCCTTATGCCTAAAGTTGGTGTTCGCTAAGAATAGGCGGTTATCTGAGCATAGTTGCAACAGACGGTCTCCATTGTCTGTTCTCTCAGTCGCTACACCATAACATCCACCAAGGTGTCTTTCCTTTTCACGCAGTCTACCTACTTGAGCATTGAATTCACAAGCCATTATTAATGTATCAGAGCACATAGGTTTTTAGAGGAGGCACGAAAGCCTTCTGTGAAACTCATCTTTCACCTCAACTGAACTGCAGTCAGTGGGAGCGTAGGCAGATATGACGAAGAGGCAACGGCGAGTGTCCCTAACGTTCCGAGCCTTTACTACCCCATTTACTCGGACAGCGTATAAACGACTGTCTAACAGGATCCAGTCTAAGAGAGCTAGTTCTGCCCAAGGACTCAACGCTATGCCTACCCCAGCAAGACCCCGGGAAGCAGCATCAGGGCTACCGGATACACGAAGAGTAAATCGAGCTGCTTCTACGTTTTGACAAGGTGAAATCAGGTTAATGACTTTACTAGGATCCTGTATGCGCGTTTCCGAGACGCAGCATACATCGATGGAACGAGATTCTAAAGTCCTAGCTAATGATGCCTGTTGCCCTATTTGACACAATGTCCGTACATTAAAAGCTCCAATATGTAGTCTAGAACGGGGTTTCAAGAGACCAGGAACGACGTTTCGTGATCTCACTTCGTCTGCATTAGCGGTGCAGTGAGAAAAGGGAGTGTGAGTAGAGTTAGTCGTAGAGATAAGAGAGGCATTAGGGGGTGTAGGAAGGATTTGATTTTGACCAATTTGGTCTCGCGTGCTGGTACGGGTATGAGGGCGGTTGTCACTTCCCGGCTGCCCACACGGTGGAAGGTTGTTTCTTGAGGGACCTGAAAAGGAAGATGGATTAGTGTTGGTGCGTGACCGCAGAGTCCAAGGGACAACTGCTTGAGGCCGGTCACGCACGGCCTTTTTATGAAAGGTATTTTGAGGATTAGCTCCGTTCTTAAAGGCCCTTAGTGGGCACCCTTACCCAGGGAGACGGAAATCCGTGAGTTAGGGGGAGTGTGACATTTTTAGGGCCGACCTTTTCTAACCCTTCCTTCCTTGTGAGAAGGCAGCATCGCTGCAGATGCTGGTTGTCTGAGGGAAACACCTTACTGCTGTCACACCCCTCTGCAGTCAGCAGTACGACTTCGCCCTCAGACCTTGGCTAGCTGCTTTTAGTCTCATCGTTCTCCAATCGACCTGCCTGGCATGGTAGGACCTGCAGGAACATATGTTCCAGCCAGTAGAGCTCGGTTGGATCATCACGATAGGCAAGCCCGACCACCACGTCAAGGTAGCAGCTTCGGTCGGGACCTATGGCGCAGGCGGAATATCCGTTTGCTAACCAAAGGACGAGTGTACTATGCACCAGTTCGCTCTATCCTACTATATGGCTGTCAGACATGGCCGTTAAGAGTAGAGGACTTTCGAAGGTTACTAGTCTTCGATCATCGGTGTCTCCGAAGCATTGCTCATGTATCCTGGGACAACCGTATAAGCAATGCAGTCGTTAGGAAACGAGTTCTCGGTAGGGATGGCAAATCAATAGATGAAGTGTTGAATCTTCATCAGTTGAGGTGGTTGGGACATGTGTTACGTATGCCTAAACACCGACTGCCGCGACGAGCTATGTTTTGTGGTGTAGGAGTGGGTTGGAAGAAAGCTAGGGGCGGACAAACCAAAACATGGCAGAAATCCATGAAGTCATTGACAAGTGGACTGAGTCATGTTGGTAGATGTAGGCTGGTTACCTGGTTGGGGTCCGCGAGACGAAAGTCACCGATGGTTTGAGACCTTGAACGACATGGCTCAGAATCGTTTGCAATGGCGCAGGTGCATCCACTATTTGTTCTCTCTCTAATTCTAACCTTCTGAATTCCTCATCATCTCCATCTTTCTCCTCCTAAATTTATCTCACTGAATTATACTTTTCAAATCATATCTTCGCTCCCTAATCTTCTCCATTACTGCTAATACTTCTACTATCGCTATCACTCTTGGATTTGAACTGACATTTGCGTCTCTGTGCTGATGTGGTATGGTAACCTGGACTGCTGTACTTACATACGAAGTTCTGCGTTGTATCTGTCTGTCTGTTTATGCTTTCATCAAATTTGATCTTCCATAAAGACAGCAATTGAAATAAATATCTAAAACCAAGGTTTAGGGTCAACCTAATTGGTCACAATAAAAAGATAAGCACAATGAAATCAAAGGTAAATTTAGGAACTCTATACTATAATACTAACCAAATGATTACCTAAACCAATATGTCACTTAATTAAATTAATTAGTGCCTATAATCTATTTTTATTCAACACTGTCAAAGATAAGCTTTTTAAAAGTACGTTTTTTTACGAATTTGAACTTCTGAGAAATGACTGACTAAGTCAAATCGAAATATGTAGAAGGTATGAGAACATAACAAATGAAAACGATGAAATGTACAGTTTTTTGAAAATCAATTGCCATGTCGTAAAAATATGTGCAATGTGGTTTGATAGTTGATTTTTATCGATTTATTGCCAAAAAAAGTTAAACGAAATGAACAATTTATTTATTTGCAGAGTCATATAGGAGGTTTTAAGTAAGACGATGGTTAAAAAATCTCGGTACAAATATATATAACTGATCTTCTCATCAAAAAAATATGCACAGATTGTAACGTAAATGAAATATCTCAATTTCTATCAGTGTATATGAATGTATTGTCTAGAGATGAGGTTCCTTCTAGTTAATGATAGTCAAAAATTACATAGGATATTACAACAACAACAACGTAGAACTTCGTACTTGTGTACAGCAGTTCAAGTTGCCATACCACATTAACACAGAGATGCAATTCTCTATTTAAATCCCATAGTACTAGAGGTAGTAGAAGTATTAGGGGTAATGGAGAAGACTAGAGGGTCGAATAAATTACTCAAGGGGTATATCCCAGTTAAAAAAATTTAAAAAGAGAGAGATAAAAGTGATGAGGAATTCAGAACATTAGGAACTTAGGGAACACAAAGAGTGGATTCACCTGCGCCATTGCAAACGATTTTGAGCCATGTCATTTTAGGTTTCTAACCATCGGTTACTATCATCTTGCGGACCCCAACCAGGTAGTCTACATATACCAGCATGACTCAATACAGTTGTCAGTGACTTCATGGATTTGTGCCAAGTTTTTGTTTGGCCGTCCCTAGCATTTTTCCAGCCTACTCATATATCATACAACATCGTTCGTCGGGGTAGTCGGTGATTGGGCATTGGTAACACATGTCCCAACCACCTCAACTGATGAAGATTCAATAATTCATCTATTGGTGTACCACCCTTAAAAAGTATCCATTTCGTGATAAACAGCATTGCTTACTCACTGGTCCCATAATATACGAGTATCATGGTCAAATAAAAAAACTCCATATAAAATGGGTTTTCCAGCTAATGAGACTGAGAAATATGCTTTTTTTAAAAGCAGGATAGAAGTTTTCTTATGAAATTACAGCTATTATTCATCCCGACTTACTAAGTTGATTTCTCCACCATCTCATAAGTTGATTAAAGAAGCATAAAGTTAAAGTAGGGAAGTTCAGACCACATTGTTCAAATGTAAGGAAAAATAACCAACAAAATCAATCATTATCAACAGAGATGAATGGTGGATTGGGGGGAAATTTAGAACATGCGTTTCGTCCGGTTTATAACTCATCAGTTGGATTATCCGCATCTCAATGTTGATAGTCACTCCAAACCAGTAATAATCGCTCCTCACTCCATTAAATTACATATTTAGCTAATGAGCTCAAATAACCACTGGCTAGTGCAATCTGGTGAATTCTAAAACATCTGTATGGGTTGTTTGCGGTTTCCCCCTAATGTTTTGCATGTGAATCCTATAAAAATTGCCTCAACATTGCCACTAAGTCACAAGCATAATAAGTAGAGATGGATGGTAGTTAGTGATGGGATCTAGTAAGCGCGTTTCATTCCATTGTGGACTTGTCAACTGAAGTTTTAAACATTAACAAGAAGATCCAAACACCCAATACAAATGAAGAAAAAAATTTTTAGATGCAACATTCCAAGAGCAAACGCATTTTATCATACGTATATGTACTTGACTGTGCAACAATTGGTAAAGATCATATAAGCTTATGCCTGTTTTTGTCTTGTTTTCATGTCCCTTATTTTATGTCTCTCTCTTTCTAACCAATTTCTGAAGTGAAATAACTCAAAACAACACTGTATCATGATAGACTTTATGTATTATTGCTTGTTTCTTTTAGTCTGATTAATTCTGTGAATTAATAAGTTTTGGGGGTTTGTGTTTTTAAACATTTGAAATCATCAATCAATCATTGTTAGACCACCATTAGAAACCTGGAAGCACTGAAGGACGCCCGTTTCGTCCCGGTATGGGATTCATCAGCAGTGCGCATCCACAACTCCTACACCTCGCAGGATTCGAACCCGGGACCTTCGGTATTGTGCGCGAACGCTTCACCATCGGACCACTGGGCCGGCATCCAACGGTGTTAATGTCTAAGTCTGATTGACCTAGGGATTTCGCGCGACCTCACCCATTTGTCTTTGGTAGTTACTGCCGTCCATTGCTTCCAGGTTTCTAATGGTGGTCTAAAAATGATTGATTGATGATTTCAAATGTGTAAAAAGAAGTAATAAATGTTCGAAAATACGACTTATCAATAAATGAAATGTCAAAATCGAAAATGACTATCAATGAATGAGATTTCAAATAAACCATTGTTAAGAGCTCATTATACATATATATTGAATGAACCTACCCTTTATTACTATTTGTACTGCAACCAGAAGTATCACGCATTGAATTAGTGGTCGATGTTTTGGTTGGTGAATTTTCAGAGCCTTTCATTGAACTATTCGAATGTTTTTTCATAGATAAACTAGCAGTGGTGTAAGTCGGTGAACCTATATTATTTCCTGAATTAGACTGATTATTACAATTGTTGTGTTTATTTGCACCCCATCTGAAATGTTGTAACAACAACAACAACAACAGTAACAACTGTAATTGTTCACATCAATTAGAATAGTTGCTCATTAATTTGATCAATTTGTGTTAAGAAAACAAGGTTAACTGTGGTGAGGTCAAAATAAGTAACTGCATAATTTTAGGTATAATAACTAGGTGAAGCCTGTCATTATGACTGAAGTGTCTGATGAAATAGTGAGATTTGATAATAATCGATGGTTAGAGACCTTGAATGACATGGCTCAAAATCGTTCACAATGGCGCCGGTGCATTTATTCTTTGTGTTCTCTCAAATCCTAATCTTCTGGGTTCTTCAACAACTCTAGTTTTGACTTTCTAAACTTTTCTCATTAAATCATACTTCTTGAATAATATCTTCTAATCCTAACCTCTCCGATTACTTCTAATACCTTTACTACCTCTTCTACTATTGGATTTGAATTGACAATTACATCTCTTTGCTGATGTGGTATGGCGACATGAACTGATGTACTTACGTACGAAGTTCTACATTGCAACTGACTGACTGATTTGCTAAGCTGAAATAACTGATAATTCGATACTCAAACGCTAATACGATGAATTCTAGCGGACAAAGCAATGAAATTTACAAACTAATGAATGATCATTCATTTCGGGTGATATACCAAAAAAGGCTTAATTTCAAAAGTGTATTATGCAAATTAAAGGGTTCTTATCACAAATAATGATCTGATTAACATTGTTGTCGGTATAAATTCATGAATAGCAAAGTTGCATGACATACTGTTAGTTTATAAGAGTGATTGAAAATCGCTTAAACTAACTAGAATTTTAGAGTAATCTACAAATTATGTCAGCGAATTTCTTACTTTCTTTACTGATTTGGATAATGTTTTGCGGAGGTGAAGATTTACTGTAAAAGACCGTAGTTCAGATTAGATACCAAGACGATGTGACTTAACTCTTACGAACAAGTGGAAAGTTTAATTTCAGGACGGGTCAGTAACTATGAATACAATTATATAACAGTTCGGAAATATCTAATTTGTATGATAGCTACATGTGTTAACCGATTATCTTAACCATAGAAGGATAAACGGAATACGAAATCGTGATAACCAGGGTAGTAATAATTCTCCGGATTAACATACAGTCATCTCATTACATATTTAAGAACAAAAATATTATTAAGCGTGAAAAAATCTGTAATTTCAACAGCGTTGTGCAGTGGAGAGACATTGCCACTAGAGCATTTAGTATAAATTTCATTTGGTTGCATAATTGTCACGGCATTTATCAAATAGTTTATATCCTACAAATGGTGAAGAAAAGTCATGGAGCCTTGTTAATTGCATGTAAGATTAAACAAGTTATACGTATGACTAAACAAATTACTAATATCGGCATTTTCGAAAAATCAAGGAGTTGCAAGCAATATTTTTGAAGCTTACGATATAAATTTGATGAAAGTTCCGAGAAAACTACCAAAATGTATTACTTATACTCTTTCTACTTGATACAATTGCCATTTACTATGAAAATAATAGGAAAAAGCTTACTTATATTATCCTAAAAGACTGTCAAGTTACAGAAGGAGATGTGAATAACATGTTCACATTGATAATGTATGTTAATATTGAATGCAATCTGTTGTATAATGTCCGTATCTCCTTAAAATGGACACATTACATATATTTTCTCAATTTGTAATATATATATATAGTTTTAAATTCCTAAAGTTTTATTATGTTTAGACAAACTTTGTCAGAGTATACTGAGTTAAACATGATTACAAACAGTTGTAATAGCCTAAAAACTTGTTTTAAATAAAGTATTTATACAAAATAGTACAATTCAATCGAGATTGTTAAATGCATAGATACTGGACAGACTAGCGTTAAAGGAAAATATGAATTGAGACAAGATTTTATAGTGGTCATTAGATTACTGGTTTGGTGTTCCGATAAATAAATAAGGTTAACTGCTAACAAGGTCTCGATTGCATTAGCTGCGCAGTGTGATAAAGGAATGTGAGAAGAGTTAGTCGTGGAGATAAGAGAGATATTAGGGGGTGTAGAAAGAATTTGATTATGAACGATTTGGTCTCGTGTGCTGTTACGGGTATGAGGACGGTTGTCACTTCCCGGCTGCGCACACCATGGAAGGGTGTTTCTTGAGGAACCTGAAAACGAAGGTAGATTAGTGTTGGTCTTAGATACCTGAGAGCGTGACCGCAGAGCCCAAGGGAAAACTGCTTGAGGCCGGTCACGCATGGCCTTTCTATGAAAGGATTTTTGAGTGTTAGCTCCGCTCTTGAAAGCCCTTAGTGGGCACCCTTACCGCCGGAAACAGAAAACCGTGAGGCAGGGTGAGGTGTGACATTTTTAGAGTTGACCTTTTCTAACCCCTTCCTTCCTTATGAGAAGGCAGCATCGCTGCAGATCCTGTTTGTTCGAGGGAAACACCTTACTGCTGTCACACCTCTCTACAGTTAGCATTATGACTTCGCCCTCAGACCTTGAGTAGCTGCTTTTAGTCTCATCGTTCTCCAATCGATCTGCCTGGCATGATAGAACCTTCAGGAACATAAGTTCCAGCCAATATAGCTCGGTCTGGTCATCACGATAGGCAAGCCCGACCACCACGTCAAGGTAGCAGCTTCGGTCGGGTCAAGGTCTTGATTACACTGTAAGGAATAAATAAACCTCTTGGTTTTGCGATTAGCCAATAGATTTCATAAAACACTGTTTTCAAAAGTGTTGAAAAGTTAACAAAAGATGATGTTCTTTTCAAAGAGTGAAATGCATCACTAAATAATTTCAGTCACGCTAAAACAATTCAACGAACTTGAAGCTTGTCCCAGATTCATCCAATACAAATTCTAAAAAAAGAGAAAAATGGTTTTTGACTTATTTATTTAAAGAATAATAATTTATACTAAATATATATATATATATATATATATAAAACATGTACCAAGAACTCAAGAACTAAGTTGATAATTGTTCACCAAAATAAATAAATAAACAGTTGGTAAAATTAAATACAACAGAGGAGTCATTTAATTGGAGGGCTCAAGAATTAGTGGTAAAATAACTAACCAAATGTTCATATTTCTGTTAACGTATTGATATATGATGAATATTATTTACTTCCTAAAAGACACAACTTAATACTCATTTACACATCTGAACAAGTTGCGTTCAGATATAAATTAAATAAACTTTTTCATCAGGTATTTGGGTGTGAGAGACACATTCTAAGTATGAAGGTTAATGATACTGTCCGGTTGTCCAAACCTAAATAGATGGAGCAGATATCAAATATATGATGTAGTGGCCGAAATTCTAACGCTTTAACCACGAAGTCACTGCTCTTTCAAATACTTACTCTAAAATACCTGATTATAAGATGGTTTTGTGCGACAACCTACAACTGATGGTTAGAGACCCTAAATGACATGGCTCAAAACCGTTTGCAATGGCACAGGTGCATTTATTCTTTGTGTTCTCTCAAATCTAACCTTCGTAGTTCCGCATTACCTTTATCTTTTTCTTTCTAAGTATATTTTACTAGATTCTACTTGAATAATATCTTTGAACCCTAATCTCTCTGGTTACTGCTAATAATTCTACCACCTCTACTACTATGGGATTTGAAGTGACGACTGCATCTCTGTGCTTATGTAGTATGGCAACTTGAACTGTTGCACATACATTCGAAGTTCTGTGTTGTTGTTGATTGACTGGTGCGACAACCTATCGTTACAAGTATACATTAAGAACCCATTCAGTTGAGACGCAGAGGTTGATTTCCTGAACAAATTATTGGTTCAAGTCCCATAGTCTTCTTAGTATTTTTATTACTCCAGCGGTCTTTATTCGGACTAGAAATTTACGCCAGATCGTACAAAGGATTTTTAGTGTAGGTGACTTATAGTGAATCCAAATACAGATATTAGATAAAAAGAAAGGTTTACAAACGTCTGTAGCCTTAGCGGTCTATAGACTAACATGATAGCTCATAACAGTAAGCAGAGCATGGTTTGGCGGTAGTACGATGATTGTACGATTGATGATTAGATTATTTTTGGGTGGATGGGAAGTTTCAACCACCCAAGAATAAACAAGTATTTAAAATACTACTGTTAACGAGTTTCGAATTGCGTGAGCCAGATAGTAAAATGTCTTAAAAACCCACACCCCCTTGTATAAACAAACACCAGTGGTTAGCGCTAACATACACCGCCAATCACATTGTCAATGAAACTCAGCAGCCTAAGTACAGGCTTGTATACTTGCATTCCAGTCATCTTAAGGGCTAGTGATGGTACACATTTTTTCGAATGAAGGTAGATAAATTGTTGAATAAGTATTCTGATGCCATCTATGAGTTAAAAATCGGATAAAACGTGTGCCATAAAAACAAGTATCTTAAATGAAAGATGACCCTAATATAAGTCCTTTACGAGATCAATATTTTTAAATGGATGGGTAAATAACAACATTTAAAGTAAAATCTTTTAAGATAGGTTTTTCACTAATAAATCCTCGAAAGTAATAATTCAGCAGGTTTATGCTAAGCAACATTCAGCTGGTTTCCAGTTTTCGTCCAAGTAAAAATATTCAGGTCCCGTTCTAGAAACAGAATAACGAGATTGAGAACTACTACGAACTTTACTGTCAGTGTACTAATGAAACAAATACTATTCCTGAGGCAGTTGATCACGCAATGCTTAAGTGCAAACAACTTTTCAGTTGAACAGGTACACAACGTTAAAATATTTGTCCTGGATTATTTGTCAGAATCATACGCTTACTTTCCAAAAGAAAGATTATGGTCAATGTGAAACCAAGCTCTCATTATATTTCCTAGATAACTCTGCAATGAACCCAGACAGGTAGTTGTAAAATTATTAAGTTAAATTACGGAAGTGTCCGCTAACAAAGTGAGTCTTAAACTTAGTAAATAAGTCCAATAAATAATTCATTTAAAATGTTTATCAAGAAGTCTTTCAATCAAATTTGTATTAGCTTCCAACGCGCTAAATGAGACAGACCGCTTATTTCAATAGTTCTAATATAACAAGAATTAAGACGTACCTGGTGAGGGCATGTAAGCGTGGAACAACAGGTCTCCACATTTGCCTAGAAGATTTTCTTCACATAGAGATAGCTTCCTAACTAAAACCAAATGTATTTCCAAAAACAGCTCAACCTACCAAGAGAGTCAAGTGCGTAAAATTGGGCTTCATTTTTGAGTGAATTTATATCTACACCATTCAGATTCAGCTCACTAGTTCGAAGGTAGTTGAGAATTATACTGAACATATCCGGATCTCTGTCTATGAATATCTAATTCATTTAAATTAATATCAAAAAAACATACAGCCCCGGACTCATCTCGCATTGTAGGTAGTGCACCATCAAGTAGTCTAAAAGGTAAGAACTTCAGTAAGTAGTTATTTACATGCTGAAAAATGAGTTTTTGTTCCATAGGAGTGTATTGCGAGAGGTAGAAAACCTGTAAAATATCCATCCAACCTGAATTACATACGTACTTTCGACCACCAACATTGAGGTTGACAATGTCACATCGCTTGTTCATGCTTAAGTTAGCCCAGCCCAGCTGTTTATCTGAAGGACAGATTTTAAATTCGTTACAACATTCAATATCCAATATATTTTTCCCGAACTAGTGTCAACCAATTGATGGCTTTGTGCTCAATTTTTGTTCTTTCTATATGGTTACATTAGCTTCTTCGAGCTTATTATTATTTCTTGAATATATCTGTGCGCATTCATTCTAAGGGATCGAGATTGTTGGAATCACCATCTTTTTTATTTCAAGATCGTTGGATGCTTGACTAACATAACTGGAATAAAGAACCAGATGGAAGATAAAGACCGTGAAACGATTTAGTAAGTAAGAAAATATACAATCATAAATGAATGAATATTCACAAAAGTTAAATGAACGGCAATGATAAAAGATAAAATTGTACGGGCTGTTACTAATGATAATAATGATAAAATAATTTCGGAAGTGGATAAAATGTGAGTAACAATGAAGGCAAATTAAAAAGCGGCGAATTCAATTCCTTGTGACCTCAAATGACCAACTACTTTAAAGAATAGTAAACCATGTGCTTTGACATAGCTTTTGAGTTGTCTTTTCGAACTGTTAACTTTGAGAGCTGCAGTCACAAGTGATGGAATAGCGTTTCATGTAGACCTGACATTGCCTGAGTATTAGCTCTCTGATGTACTATTCGTCGTTAGTTACCTTTGGGAGTGTAGTTTCGAGGTTCAGTTCAGCAGTGTTGTGAGTCTATAAGCGTGAGTTGATGTAGGTCCCTAAAAGTGTCAGGAAGAGAGACCAAGCGTCAATGTGCCTTCATGCCTCCTTCTGATGCATAAAATAGTGTAAATTTTGGCCGAATTTCCCTGCCAGCTGTTGTTACTGTCTCCGCTTTTCTGCCAAGCAAAGATGTGGCTGGCTCTCTGTGGAGATGCATTAGCCGGAGATAACATCGTCTTAAACTTTTTAAACGTGAATGTCGGACATCTCTAGGGCCCTATGAAGCTCTTATGCCGTCCCCATCTTATGAGTCTCCCCAATTTGATATATTCCGGTTAGATAAAGGCTGATGAACTAAGGTTTCTTAGGGGGTTATCGATCGTTACGAGGAACACCAGAGTCAGTATGGCTCCTAGAAAAACCCCAAGGACTGATATCCTTCAGTCTGTTTGCCAACAAATTAACCCTGATGCGTAAACATTAGTCCTATAAATGTTTCATTAGTTAGGAAAAAAGTATATCTGTGGACTCTGTTCACTCGATCTTAGCCAGTAGGATGAAGCACAGTATTGTATCGGTGAAGTGCAGAAATGTCGCATAAACAGGTGCTCCCTGATACCGCGAGGCTGTTCAACTGTTCAACTTTAAAGAGTCGTATATGCTTTATAATTTTTCTTTCTTTTAGCCATGTTGGGCCTTATAGAAGAGGTTTGTTTGCCAGTTGATTCACCCATCTGACTGTCTACTTTTCATGGCACTGCGACAACAGGATATAAACCCCAGTCCGTTCAATCTCTTCCTCTGATAATGAGGAAGAGGCTAGCTGGTTTTTTCATGCTCAATAATCGCTTGAGATTTAATTTTTAAGGCACATTATTTAGTGGGTGACAAGTAAGAACTGTTTGGTTTATATCATTAAAATCTAGCGATCTGCCTTGTCTCTGTCCCGAAAACTTTCTCAGCGCTAGCCACTAACTGTTTTCGATGCTAGAGTATCGTTTGGAATCCTTCGACTAGATGCATGATTAGACAGTTTGTAAAAGTGTTACTTGTAAGCTTCAACAGCTCCGATGTTAGTAGGAGTCACGTTTTTTGGTTCAGTGATAATAAGAGTTTTCTGGTTTCGCTTTACCCACTTACTTCTGTTTGACACTCTTTTCTTAAGCAGCTTTTTTTTCGGAAGTACCCGGTGAGTTTTCCCACATATATATTGCACTTGTTTTTCGGTGTTGTTTGAAGTCACTATTCAAAGCATTTCTATCTTTCACAA